ATATATATATATATATATATATATAAAATTAATCTTATCTTATTTTTTAATGTAATTATGTAAGTCTCCTATTTTGATATTGGATGAACATATGACTTTTACACCCAATATTAATACATTATGTTATTTCAAAATTTGTTTTTATTTTTTAATCTTTTCCTATATTAATTCTCTTCAAAATTTGTCAACATTAATAAATAGTTATATTTTTAATTTATATATTCAAGTCACAATAATAACCTTTTTATCTTTGTTTGTTGTTAAGGAACGTAAAAACGTATTTATTTTTATAAATGTTTTATTTATGTTGTAAAAGTGTATTAATTAGTTGAATGAAAAAGGAAGTTAATAACAGATTCTCACAATATAAATAAAACATTTGTAAGTATGTTTCATCTGTTATGTTCCTTAACAACCAAAAGCCCCGGTGGTTACTTTTTGCATATCGCGCTCCGTTTTGAGTTCACTCTGCGAGGTGCCGTTTTGGCCATCCTTCTTCGTTCCCTTTCAAATCCTAATCTACCGATCAGATCCCAAATTGGGAACACCCCATGGCAGCAATGTTCAATTCGGTTGGTCCCCTCGCACTTCTCACCCTGGCATTGACCTTTAGCCTCGCGTATTCGATGCAGTTCGAGCTTCATTTGGGTCACACCAAGTGCATTTCAGAGGACATTAAGGCCAGTGCGATGAGTGTGGGAAAGTACAGTGTCGTCAACCCTTCCGAAGGTTACCCAAACTCCGATTCCCACAAGATCATTGTCAAGGTAACTTCGTGATTCAATCACTGTCAAACCCTTTCTTTCATAGTGAAAAATGAACTCTCCCAATGTTATAACTCGCAAAGCCAAATGTAGCTAATAGGACCACAATTGCAGTTGCGGGCACCCAAAATACCTAGGCTTTGCAATTAAAATCGCGGGTTTTAACTGTTTTATAAAACCTCGTCCTTTCTGAATGAAAAGTAAAGCCTCGAATCTTAAATGGGTCAGCTGTAGAATGTCTCCTGGTTGTTTGTGATTTGCTTTGTGGTTTGGGTTTCTGAATTTGGAATGTGGTGTGATTGTTGGGACAATGGGGTCCTGTGGTTTTGTTATCAACGTGGGTTTGACTGAGATTTTGGATGTGTGTGTTTTTCCAGGTGTCATCGCCTCATGGGAACATGTATCACTTTGGGGATCATGTGGATTCTGGTAATTATGCATTTACTGCATCTGAAGCTGGTGACTACACGACTTGCTTTTGGCTTCCGGATGAGAAGGATGCGCCACCAATGGTGACTGTTGAATTTGAGTGGAGAACTGGGGTTGCTGCCAAAGACTGGTCCAAGATTGCCAAGAAAGGGCAGGTTGAAGTAAGTAGTTTTATCACATTTCCATAACTTGCATTTGCTCGCGTGTATGTGATAGATAGTTTTTTTTTTAATCATTATTATATCATTTTAACTCTTTCTGTGTTTTTTCTTTTTTGAGAAACCCCTGTGTCGCAGTACCAAACCTGAATATTGAGGAGGGATGAATTAGGCAATAGGCAGGTTTCTGCAATGTAAACTTTGTCAAATGTTTTTTATACTGAACAACAATGTAATTCTGCTAAGCTTTGTACGAAACAATTGAGAAATCTTGCTCTATTAATTCTTTTCCCCCTGAAAATTTAGGTTTGGTGGCCCGTTTAGTGAATTTACTGGCTAAGAGAAGTTTTAGCGTGCCCTTTTTATGCCACAGCAGATATATATAGCCAACTTGCACAGTGAAGTAATGCACTCAGAAGTTATTGTGTGCTCTTGTCATTGTTTTGGACACCCGCAGGATTATTAACTAATGCTATGCTTCTGTCTTTCTATTGTATTTGGAATATGATACTGTATAATATATAGTTACAATATCGTAGTGTTTTCCCTTATATGTGAAAAATTAGTCTAACCTATTTTATCAATCTAGTTTTTCTATGACGAAATCATAACTATCAATCAAGGGTAACAGCATGAAATGGTCACCCTTGAAAACTGTGGCAGTATAAAGGAAAACTTGTGTATTTTTTCAAAACTAAAAGAAGTTTTACATAGAATCATCCTCAATCTGGTAGCAACAAGAGCATAGGAATGATGCCAAAGAAAGAAGGAAAAAGGAGCTGAACAGCGTACTCTCACAGAAAGAATAAAAAGAACATAGACCTTGAAAGTGTGAAGGAACAAATGTCAACTCAGGAAACTTTTTGAGTAAAGAACTGATGAAGAAGGGTTTCTAAATCAAAATTAATTAGAAAATGGGGTAGAATCACAATTCCCCTACCCCCGCCCCAAACAAAATTGTTTAAGCCCCAAAATGGGTTTTAAAATCCTATCACAAGACTTCCACTGTAGTGCATGAAAACCTGCTATTTTGGGAATGACTGCTACTGAAAACTGCTCTGCAGTTTGTATCTTGCAGTAGCCTAGGGAACACACACTATAACGTCATAATAGGTCCTTCATGAAATAACGGAATAAATCAATTTAAAAATCTCAGTTCATGGAATTTTCTGAAATTCTAGTTCTTGTACTTATAGAGAAATCAAGGAACTAGCATAAAACTGTCTGAGAAAGGATGTACCAGTAACCCAGATTTAGCTTTACACTACTGCTTTGGATCCATATGTTTATTTTAACCATGACTGTGTAGCTCACCCATTCTTTACGTTTTGGTGTGCATCTTTCTTGCTTAAGATGTCAAATCCCCCAATTATGAACATTTATTATATCATTGTTCAATTGTCTTTCATTGTAAATGTTCCATGTTTAGTTGCTACTAAATTTTATGTGAGCTTACACAAGGTAGTCATATGATTATGAACGCCATCCTAATTTCTTAACATTTGTAAGTTATAGGGATAGGGGTTTCTGTTTTAAAGATCTAGGTGTTTTTGGTCTTTGTTTGTTTATTGATGTGGTTTTCCCCCTTTTGTCTAGGTAATGGAATTTGAGTTGAAGAAGCTATATGATACTGTCTTATCAATCCATGATGAAATGTTTTATCTTCGAGAAAGGTATTATTGCAATGACTTCGGCTAACTAACTAATCTCTTGAATTAGTATATAATGGTTCCATGTGATCTTTTGATGGAGAAGATGATTTGCTTAATTCATTCATAATTTTGCTTAAATGGAAGATAAATGATTTATCTGTTCCGTTAGAAGAAACTGGAATCTTTTTCTGTGCAGCTACGTATTCCTCCCAATCTGTCCATGTACTATCTGGAATACATCATGGTTAATCTAAGCCTTGCATCAACTGTTTATATTCTCTTTACATTAAAGAATGGTCACTACACAATTAATTTGTTTGTTCCTGAGTCAGATAAAGATAGGGATGAAATCCCTGGACCTAATCAATAAATATGGAGAAAGAAATGTGGATAGTTTATGGCATTACTTTTTCTTCCATGTTTGATAACCTTCATTATTCTCTTCCATCAACTATATTGTGTTTTCCAATAATTTAATAGCTGGAGTGGGTCAGAAACTTGTTCTCTGTTATGCCTCCACTAAAAATAATTTCTTTGCTAACATGTTGTTCTGTATGGTTTTCCTAAGAATGAGATGCCTAGGATCAAGTAGTTGGGTATATAACTGATGACAAACTTCTATTTTTTACGTTAAGTTTTGGATGGTTTGGCTTTTCGTGGTCATGCAAATACTGCAGCATTAGAGTTTGCGTTCATTCTAGAAGTGTTTTTTAGTGCATTTTGCTGACCTGTTTTTATCCATGTGTCTTATGTAGGGAGGAAGAGATGCAAGATCTTAACAAGGCAACTAACACCAAGTTGTTTACTTTAAGTTTCCTTTCGATTGCGGTTTGCTTGTCTGTGGCTGGTCTGCAAATATGGCATTTGAAGACATTCTTTGAGAGGAAGAAGCTCCTCTAAATTCATAGCACGAAGTTTGTTCACTTTGCTTCTATTTTTTTTATTTAATTTCCTGTTCTCTGGTTGTTCCTTGTGTATCCAAGTGTATGATTATTATATCTTTCATTTTTTTTACACTTCATTTCATGGTAATTAGGAATATCTGCCCATTGCAAGTCATGCTAAATGTATTTGTATTAACTTCTGAATAATAGTTATCTTTCTCTACAGACCCTTTAATTTGTAATTGGAATGATTGAATTTTAATTTTTTATTATGAAAGCCCAACAGTAACTCCTTCAAAACACGAAAGGTAGAAGCGGGAATTATTTATATTCAAATGAAACACCATTGCTATGTTATCATGCTCATGCATCTCTTAACAAATTACTGCATGTTCATATTTGACGTGCAAAATCCTCACATCCAGATAGAAGCTTTTACTTTACTGATATAGCTTATGCATCTTGTATAAATTTGATTTTATTTCTTGTCCCTCTACTAATGCATTTCCAATCCTATGTTTAATGTTACTTTAAAATTTAATTTACATTATTTGTTTCAGATTTTGTTGAAATTAATTTGAACATTGATGTAATTGTTTCAGTTATGAATTCAAATTATATTTAATATATTCTATTAGGAAGATAAATGATGTTGCAGGACGGCCAAATGCATTCAAACTTTGGAAAGTGAAAATACATTAACACACAAACTCGAACATTAGGGATACTATTATCACACAAAAGCCAATGACCTCACATTTAGTTTAGACCAACAGTGCTTAAAGCTCAAGACATCATAGTAATAGTCTAAACACGCAGGAAGGTATAATGGTGTCAACCCTTTATTTAGTAGGTAATTATGGGGTGACTTTCAAACAGCAACCACTGGCATTTTGATTACTCATCGGCATAACTATTGTGATGATGGTGATGCTTGTGGTGATGCTTCTTCCTATCATCATCATCCGAGTCATCACCCTGCAATGATAGGAAAATATCAGCAAATGGATACCAACTTCAATAGAAATGCTTTATGCACACAGATATAAAATTCACAACTACAGGGTAGCATTTTATTATGTTTAGATAAAAATTGGAAACATGACTATGGAAATTGCAATACACATTCCCAAATTCTGGGTCGCAACGTAAGAACAATTTGTTGATTTAGGTAGTAAAAGCACCTACTCCGCCAACTAGCATTCAAACATATAATCGTTCTGCTTGCAAAACCTATTACATACATCTTACAGGGGGATGGGACAGAAGAAGCAATCTTTATTGATTGCAAAACCTATTAAACATATCATGTTCAGTTATCAAATTTCAGTAGGAAGCACAAAACTTACATTTTGAGTCTCAATTTGTAATCTCTCCATCTTTTTTGTGCATACTCAGTGACTATATTAAACATATCATGTTCAGTTATCAAATTTCAGTAGGAAGCACAAAACTTACTTTTTGAGAGTCAATTTTGTAATCTCTCTATATAAGCTTTTTTCAGTGTATAGCTTTTTTGTGCATACTCAGTGACCATATTCATTTAATAATTTAAATAGTATTAAATCTTCCACGAATACATTCAATTCCTCTAGAACTTCCAAACAAAAAGGAATGGGAAGTTTCCTCTATTCCATCATTATGTACTCAAATAATGATATAGCAATTTTATCCCATTCCATCTGATATCAAATTCAACCGATTACACCCATCGCCATTTTCCAACATGAAATTGATTAAAATAAAACTGTTGAGGGTGAAAAGTTGTTTGGAGAAAAGAAAATAGTTAATTTTTTGGAGACGGGCCATAAAACAAATTACTGTAGCCATTGAACAAAAAAAATGTGTAAACGGAAGTCTAGGAAATGCTAAGCTAGTCTAGTTTTATATGAAAAATGTAACATGTTAACTGATATTTGATTACACATGTTTCAGGTCAGCCTTAGCACCCTTGATCCTTATCATGCATTCATTAGAAAGTAAGTTCAAAAGGATTCTTGATCTATTAAAACGCAACACCAATGATCTATATTTATAACAACGCATGAAAACGCATGAAAGTAATCCACTGAATCATGTACAAGAAGAAACAATGCAACTAACTCTGAACACGAATACAAGGTTTTGGAACGTTACAATGAAGCAAACCAAACTTTAACAAAACCAAATCCATGAAACTAGCAATGTACACATTGTATCATATACCATAAAGGAAAAAACTTCGATACAGTTCCTATATAGTTTCAATGTTGTTTTCTAATCAGAATTAAAGTTTTATTTCTGTAATTCACGTAATAAAGATTTGTGTTGAAGGTTAAAATAGGTGTTACTAACTGAAACTCCAATTCTAACAAAAGATAAACACCAAATAGACATAAGGAAACTCCAATTATAACAAGTGGTAAGAAAATAGAAGATATATGACAAGAAATTAAAATTTACATAATAATACTACATATCAATTAGTTCAAGCAATTACACCATTACAATGCACAAACAATATAAGATATGAACCATGCACATAATTCGAGTATTGCTTGCAACGGCAAAAAAAAACATCTTTATTAAAGAACACCAAGTTACCAATTAGTGATTTTAATTTCAGTACACTACCAGTATAACTATGAACTAATCAGAAATCACTTTAATTATGCCTTCTAAGGAAGTAATCAGTAATCTTATCACCGTATATGATCATTTGTGATTAGATAGCAAAGTAAAGTCCCTGTACACTACAAATCACAGACTACATAAACTCATTAGTTGAAGGAATGCACGAGGCAGTAGTACTTACATATTTCTTGCGTCCATAGGCCTCATCATCATTATCATCACGCTTCTCATAGCTAGGCTTTCGGTATCCCTCCTCCTGAGGTGGACGCCCATAACCATACTCAACACCTCCTTGGCTCCCATAGCTAGGTTTCTCATCATACTCACTCCTCCCTCCATAACCATACCCACTGTCCTGCTGCTGCTCTTCCCCGTACCCACTACTCTTCCTTCCACCATACCCAGATCCATATTCACTCCCCTCCGTTCTTCCACCATACCCGGATCCATATTCAGATTCTTGCCTCCTTCCACCATACCCGGATCCATATTCAGTCTCCTCCTTCCTTCCACCATACCCGGATCCATATTCTGATTCCTCCTTCCTTCCACCATAACCAGACCCATATGCAGATTCCTCCTTCCTTCCACCATATCCCGACCCGTATTCAGATTCTGGCCTGCTTCCTCCATAACCGGATCCATAGTTAGATTCCTCCTTTCTCCCACCATACCCAGATCCATATTCAGACTCCTCCTTTCTTCCACCATATCCCGACCCATATTCACCTTCTTGTTTCCTACCACCATACCCGGATCCAAAATCTGACTCCTGCTTCCTACCATACCCAGTCCCATATTCAGATTCCTCTTTTCTTCCTCCATAACCAGATCCATATTCAGATTCCTCCTTTCTCCCTCCATAACCAGACCCATATTCTGATTCCTCCTTTCTCCCTCCATAACCAGTCCCATATCCAGATTCCTCCTTTCTCCCTCCATAACCTGTCCCATATCCAGATTCCTCCTTTCTCCCACCATACCCAGACCCATATTCAGCTTCCTCCTTTCTCCCGCCGTACCCGGATGACCCGTATTCAGATTCCTGCTTCCTGCCATACCCGGATCCGTATTCCGACCCGGATCCGCCATACCCGGATCCAGCGGCGGGGTTGAAGCCTGCAGGTGCAGGCCTAGGTTTGGGGCGAGAGTAGCTGCTATACTCAGTGACGAGGGCTTCGTCTCCATAAGCAGAGGGTTCAGCGTTGGAACTGTATTGAGGGCGATCGTAGTCAAAGCTGTCGTCGGCGGAGGAAGAGTTTCCAATGGGGTAGCATGTCTCTTCGGAGGGAGGGACAGGACGGCCGTAGGTGAGGGAGATGTCGTAGCCGCCGCCGTAGGGGGTGGGATCGTACTCGTCGAAGTCGTCGATCTTGTCCCCGTGGCCTTCGTAGCCGCCGTGGTGGCCCCTTGAAAAGAACGACATTTTCACTCTCTCTCGTTTGTGATCGTGCAATTAGGAAATGGGAAGCAGCGAGATTGATTATGATTCTCAATCCGCGGTGCTTCTTTATGCTACGATGGTGGAGCATCTAAACGACATCGTTCCTGGGACTGTGACTATGATTGTTCTTGTTTTGTGGACCCACACGTTTCCAACGGAAAACCGACACATTTTGTAAACGTCCTCAATCTTATTAAAAAGAATAAGAGAAATTTTTATTTTTTTTTATAAATTTAGTTTGGATATAATAAGTCAATAGGTTTAATTGTAATTTTTTTTTATAATTTTAATTTTCTAATTTTCAATTATTTATAATTTTAGTTACCAAAATTCTTTTCACTCAATTTTGTATCTAAATTTTTATAAATATGTAAATCTGTTCAGTTTTTAGTTTCATAAAAGCTATTGGCTTTAATTTTGTTGTTGTTACTATATTCAATTATGTAAAGAAAATGAGTTTTTCTGTCAATCATACTTTGTTATGTCCGAATTAACAAAAAAAATAGATAACTATTAAAACTTGACCAAAGTTACATATTCTTAAAAATTAAAGAATCTAAATATTACAAAACATATAAATAAGAGACTAAAATTATGGAAAAGAGATTGAATATGTAAATTGTGGATTTTACAAAAAAAAAAAAACTAGAAAAAAATTATAATTAAGTAAAAAAAATATTAGAAAATTAGAAAATATATGTACAAAATAAAATACACAAAGTAAATTATAGATAAGTTAATTTTAACTTAAGTAAAAACTCAAGTGATCTTCTATCTTTTTTATTAGAGAAATTTATCCAAATATATTCTAATTCTTTTATAATTTGGTTTCATAAAACTAAAATCAATTTTTATTTAGTGGATTAAATCAACATTGCGATCTTAGTTCTGAGTTATATTTTAGCTTCAAAGAGATTAATTAATTAACTACTAACTTAATTTATTTTGTAATTATTGTAAATTAGTTATTGATTTTATTAGTAGTTAATTTTAAACTTAAATAATTCAATTTAGTAAAAGAAACCTCCAACCTAAAAACTAAAATGGATTTCAGAACTATATTAAAACAAGAAAAAATTAAAATTATTTCACTTAAAAATTTGAATTAAAATAATATGTATATTCGAGTGACGTTGACTTAATATTAAACTCCCTAATGCTTTATCTATTTCAAGTATTGGAGGAGTATATTACTAATGAATGTCTAACTTAACAAAACTGGTAATAAAGATATATTCAAATAAATTTGAATGACATTTTACACTTTAAAAGTAAATAGATTTTTATAAACTAAAAATTAATATTTATAAGAGATTGTATTTATAGATTAAAAAAATTAACTTGTATAAATTTGAGTTTGTAAAAGATTGCTTTATTTGCTTTATTTTTTTTAATGGTCTTTAAGAAAATTTTTGTTCAAATGTGTTTTTATAAAAGTAAAAATGTCACACGTATCTTTTATTTTAGAAAGGATATTTTAAATAAAAAATTTCCTCAAATATTTTTTCAGGTTTAGTTATTTATTTAGTTTCCAATTTGGATGGATAGTTCTGAACTAGTTTTCTCTTAACTTTTTATTTCAATTATGTTTCAAAATTCATTAAAATATTTTAATCGTGTCCTTTCTAATAGATTTTCGATCATAGTGTTAATAGAGTGATGATGTAATAAAGTATGACGGATACATGTAAAAGGTTTTAAAATTATAGTGCAATTGCAATAGTTTGTGTCTACTTTATCTCTTTTAAGGTTAGGGGTTTGTTTTTCCTAATGAATGGGTCTAATCGATTGTCCTTAATGGAGATGGGCAGTGCACATGTAGACGTCACCAATGACCAATCGAAGACATCTTCGCCACCATCATTCGCAGCTTAGAGTGTTGTTGGTATCGCTAGTGAAATGTGTGGGCATAACTTTCTCCACTCTCCAAATCGCATGGCTCACCATTGGTTTGCTTTCTCCAATGAACCTTGTAGAGACATCAACACGATGTTTGAAGTACCTGAAAAACACAAGAAGGGAGAGTTGAATAGTGTTAATGAAAAACTTTTGGCAATCCTTCTCATATAACTCTTTATCGAGCTCTTGAAATCTTCTTTTAAATAATTGTAGGCTCGACTTAATAGGATTTCGCAATAACTACTTTCAGCATGCTATTCAGATTATATATACTAAAACTATTAAGAACTTCCTTTGTGAAATAAATCGTTTAACTTGGAAGATTCTTGTGTTTGGAAATAAAGCGCAACAACAAATTTTCATAAAAAAAGTTTCATTTAGGTAAGACAATAGATAATTGCACAAGAGATTTTATACTAGTTCGCTTCAATTGAGTAACATCCAGTCTCCTCCGTAGAGGGTTCAACTAATGAGTATTAGCACCACTCTTGTCAAAGTAGGCATGCTTTTTCAGTTCTTTGCTTGAAGTAAGTTGTACGATATTTTTAGACTTTGTTTCAAGTGAAGAACATTTTGTGAATATCTCCTTCTCTCTAACGTCCACTTTTTGATATTTGATGTAGCACTATGGATGCGTGTAGAATAGCTTATCAGCAAAATTAGAGTAAATTGTACATGCATCAGATACGTCTTTTCTTATCACTTTTGTTGTTTTTGACTGTTGAGCATTTAATGTCATTTAATGGTTGCTCAGAACAACAAAATGCTTTTGATTTACTATCGTTAGGTAACATTTTACAATTAAGTTATTTTCTTTAAAGATATTAAGAGTAGATATCTACTTCATCATAAGATGAGGTACTTGTTAAGCTCGTGACATCTTTAGTAAAGTAAATGCTTTTTTAACTTTGTCTCTTTTTAGATAGATAACGTTTAGCTTGCTTAAGCTTTCTTACACATTTTAAT